ATTAGAGAATAGGCCATACATGACAATCACCTTGAATTCATGCTTCTCTATGAAAAACATTGCAATGCAAAATATGAACACATTCAATTATGTTAGGGATGTGCATGGGCAAAAAATTTGGTTCGGTTCAGAAATTCGGGTAACTAAAAAAATTTGCCACTTCGGGAATTAGTTTCGGCACTTCCAAAATTCAGAACTTCAGCAATTTGGAACTTTAGCAATGCGTGCCTTCAGCAATTCAGGACATCTGTAGGGCTCCCTAACCCTAGCCCATAACCTTAACCCTACCCATAACCCTACTCTTAACCTTTTAAAGTGTATATATTGGTAGGAGTATGTATGTGCAGTGTTTCTGCTTTAATGTCACTTTAATACTATTTTTTATTTTATATAACGCAGATATATGATACATATATCAAAGCACTTTAATTGTTTAGTTTTTAGTTTATTGTTTATCACATTTATTGTGCATTTATATATTCACATGGATCTTACAACAGATTAATGAAATACACTTTATTTAGCACTTGCACTATTTAATATATTTCCCATGTTATAATTAGTGTATGACCCACTGATATTGGGGTACTGTGGAATAGTGGTGGGCTTAACATGATAAGGCCATATGGTGGTAATCCCCATATTTGTTTGCTGAGATAGGTGATTTTAAGCAGCCTCTAAAACTGTATTTTTGTGTGTGCGCTGTGACTTAATCTATATTTTGTATTAATTTTGTACTCTACAGCAGCATCACTGCTGAGAAATTCATGTTCTGGGTGTGCCCCAATTCCATTTTTTCTATAAAGATAGACCATGACATTAGTACTTTTAGCCTAACCCCTTCTCTGTAGCTTTCTCTGAATCACCGTTAATAATATTAGCACTGTTGACAGCAACTGTCTCTCTAGAATACAGTGGAACACTATGCTTAAAATAAAGTCTGCATACTAAATGCCACATTCAAAAGTTAGGAAATAAAGTACATTTTGAAGAAAGTATAATGCATTTTATGGGTCACATATATTTGAACTTGGTTAAATAGTATTGTTGGCATTGTTAAAGCTTTTATTTAGACAATATTATGTTTTTCCATCCATTTTTAATCTTTTAACTTCCTTATTATTTTGTATTATTCATCTTCACAACATCCTATTTTAAAGGGACACTATAGTCACTAGAACAACTATAGCTTATTGTATTTATTCTGATGATTCTGGTAAACATTGAAAATGCTGTTTTTACATTACAGCCTAGGATACCTTCACTGGCCACTCTTCAGATGGCTACTGGAGGTGCTTCCCTGGGCAGTGCACTGCCATTCAGTGTCTACATCCTCCTATGGGAAAGCATTGTGAGTGGCTGTGATCACAACTTCTGATTATGTCAGCCAAAAAGGCAGATCAGGGGCAGAGCCAGCAGCAGACTAATAACAGTTAGATTTTACTATATTTAGGAGGGGGGCATTCGGGGGGGCTAGATGGAGCTTTTAACACCATAGGGTCAGGAATACATGTTTGTGTTCGTGACCCTATAGTGTTCCTTTAATTTCTTATTTAAAGATTTTCAAGATAAATGTACTTTGTCCGTACATTGTTGGCTTGCAGTTGCCATATACAGGGTGATTTTCTATCACTTTTTTGTCTTTTTATCTTTTGTACTAATTTTAGGCTTATTGAAAACAATGCAAAAGTGTTTAGCCAAATTCTTCCTGAGTGTTCTATTGAGAAGAAAATTAAAGCTATGACCAGCACAGTCAGAGTCTATCAAATTTCCTGATGGAATGGACTGTATTTAAGTATAATGAGTATATGGATTCAATGCCATTGGTTCAACAATGTGTTCAAGACTTAGGGTAGAGAAGATTCTGCCCCAGACTCTGCACTTTCAAGGGCCCTGTTGTACATGACATAACAGTGCCACAATGGAAATGTGCAATTGTGTTTGGATGATACAGGGCACAGAATTAATGAATGATCATAGCCCTGCACTCTTTATTGCTGCATGCTCTGTCATTCTGTACTTCGAGTAACATCATAGCAGCAAGAAAAATGCAACCGACTCCCACTGCAACAGATGGACCAGAGTGGGGTAATAACCACCTCCCAGGGCAAAATGGAGAAGGATTTGTGAAAATAGGACACTGGGATATTGTCGAGGGACTTACCCAATCGGAGCTGCTTGCATCGATCGTACGGATTCCATGCAGCAAAATGGATGCTGCCCACTCTTGGGGCAACTCTTCAATTATACCTGCAATGTGCAATGCCACTTCTGGTCCACGATTGGTCGCGTCACCCAGGCCAAGTTGTTCACACTTTTCGTGGTTGCAGGGGTGACATGGACCGATAAAAACCTTACTAACCATATTTAAGGCTACTTTGCTCTTAGTTTAGTGCCCTTTTGTGTATTCTGTTACAGTTTCAATTTAGCACATGCCTTCTTTCTATTTTCTAGTATGACCTTGCCTAGTTTCTTGGATTCTGAGTACCTGACCAGCCCAGCTACTTACAGATTTTTCCGCTGCTCTGTGATCCAGACCCAGCTAGTACTTTGGATTATCCATATATCCGTTATCCTGAAGTTGGCTTTTCTACTAACCACACGTTTTCCTGTTGTATACATTAAGTCTGGCCACACTAAGGTCTGGTAATATGTCTATTCTGTCTCTTCTATTTGGTTTGCCCAAGTAGTGCATGTTAGGGTGTATTCACTATGACAGATATGGTGGAATACTCCAAATATTTAATGCCCACGTCCCCCACAAATGCTAAGGACAGTCCTGCTCCAATAGGTCTGTTATCAAATACATTTTACACCACAGCAATTAATGTTCAATCACAAAACTAGTAAATTAAGTTGTTAAATGTAGTCCAATCACTTGTACAAAAATGTAAACAAATTAATCAACATATCTGTAATACAACTTATTAATATGTTCAGGATACATGTATGTCTTAATTTTTAATTGGAGAACACAAAAAAAGCAAATTGTGCATTTTCTGAAGTGCAATCCAAAAAACAAGGATGTCAAACAGATGTCACTAGCTTCTATGTGTTCATTTTCACTTTTCATGCATAAAATCAAAGCAAAATCTTTAAACAATGAGTGTTGTTCATTATCCCAAGTATGCCCTGGGGATCCTTGTAAATGCTAGTGACTCATGCACAAATCACAACAACAGACACACCTTACGGACAAGTACAGCAATGTTTTTAATATGTGTCTCCTTAATGATGCACACTCTAGCAAGTCTTAATATAATGCTAAGCTCATGAACTGACATATATACTCGTGATTGAGGTGTTTGTAGACTAAATAGACCCTGATCAATTATTGGTGGACAGGGCACACCGACCTGCGGAGTCCTGCCAACATCAATGGCCCGCAATGTAATCAGCTGAGTCCATTTCTTCCACGTTAAAGAGCGAATCACTAATGCATGCAGAAAAGACAACCAACCTGATCTCTACAAACATTTGAAAATATTTGCGGGTCTTTCAGCGGCCACGCTACAATTCAGAAAATCCCTGGCTCCGGTCACAACGTCGCTGCGGGCTCAAGAGGTCCAGTACAGATGGGGGTATCCGGTTCAATTCTTGGTTCAGCATCAAGTTACTACCCACCAGATCACTTCAATAGAAGACTGAACGCGCAAGCTGCAGGACCAGGTTATCCTGATGCCAAAACCGCCGAGGCAGGACCGTCCCAAAGTTCCAAGGCTGACGCAAGAATGGACTCATTCTTAGATTACCACACCTGTTCATGTTGGGTATTGTATGTTAATGCTACCAGTTAAATACTGTTTATTGTAAACGGTTGATTTCAATTGGTTAACAACGTTGAGGGGACACTTATTCACCCCTAACCATTTTGCTAACAAACACCATGACAGGCTCTTAATTAGGAACCAGGTGTACATGTGGACAACTGCTAGATTTGTCTCTGCCCAAGTATCATAAAGAATTAAAGGTCATGCCACATGCACCTAATAAGCACTGGATCATGGGCGGGACCATGAACCATATTGTTATGGTTTAAAGATAGCATGAAAAAAACTAAAACTTTTTTATTGGTTACACTGATTACCCCCTTTGTGTAAACCTTATAGGCATACCGAGACCCAACTCTTGCCAACCATTTAAAACAATAGGCTTCCAGGGAGGCTTTAAACTTTGCAGCTCCATTATAGGACATGTGAAGTGATTCCACCTCCAACTCTTGTGGCTGGTTTCCCTAGTGCACGATTTTGCCCTTCCTTTATGGGCTTTTCTTACAACTTCCACACCAAGTTTGTTTCTCTATCAATCCTTTTCTGATGTTTCCCCCTCCCCCTTTAACTACCTGTCCCCTCCCACATCGACACGTATATGCAATACCACCCCATGGCTATAGTACCATAACGTTGACTCGAAGGGCAGTGGCCCCAAAACCCCCAATAGGGCTAAACACCCCAACCAGTGGCAATCCACACACCCTTGTAGGGGCAGTGTGGGATGCACTAGTCAGGCAATCAGGTCCTACCACACACGAAGAAGCCTGACTATTGACCCACGTACTAAGGCCGATTAGGCCCTCAGCTCAGCAATCCCCCAATCACTCTATCAATTATGAAATTGATGACATTTAATGTAAAGGGGTAAAGGGGTTGAACTCCCCAGGTAAACGGAGGCTTTTGCTTAAAGATATGAGGAAACATCACATTTACATAGCCTGTATCCGGGAAACCCACTTGAAGAAGCCTTGTACTCTGGCAAAAAGTTTTACCTTATACAGTTCCATGCTTTATCAGAATCCAAATCCAATGGGGCCTCTATCTTCATTAGCAGAGATGTTGCTTTCACACTCCAGCGCAAACAGATAGACCCACAAGACAGACTGTTATAAACAATTAGCGCTAGCCTCTTCCCAAAGCAAGAGATTACCCTCACAGGTTCTGCTGACTAAGACAAACTCCCTACATCAGCAGATTCAAAATTTGCAATCTATAAAAGCGGATAGGATGTTGCTAAAGTTAAAAGCGACTACATACCATACTGCGGGGAAGGCTGCTAAAACCTTAGCCAATCGATTGCGTGCAAAATTGGCGCAATCGCGCATCCCTTATATGCAAGGAGATCAGGGCAACAAATCCGTAGGCCCACAAGATATTAGTCAGGAGTCTGCCAGCTTCTATTCCAAATTATACTACTTGCGCTCAGACACATTACTGATCTGCCTTGATAGCAAGGATATTGAGACCTTTCTTAACTCAGCACACCTTCCCAAGTTAACCACATACCAGGGTAGACAGGGCCTGGACAATACAAGGAAACTGTCACTGGTTCTTGAGCAGATGAGGAGGTCTGACCTTCCTGAGGCAGGCTTTACTGGGTTACGGTTTTCCACTGCAGACAACCCTACATGCCCGGGAAACAACTGGATACCAGACAGCTGCAACTACCGCCAAGAACCCAGATAAGTGATACACTATATACTAACTACACCGCATGCATTGAGCAAGGGGCTTAAAGATAGGGGTTAAAGACGGTGATATAAGCCTCCCGAACTTAAAAGAACTAGGCTGCATTTGGGGTGGGGGGACTATCGTAGGGGTGGAAGGCACAGGACATGGACCCTGCTCACACCGGAGGAAACTGGGTCAAGGACTAAAGTAGCTAATGCTCTGATGTTTTAATGGTTTTAATGGTTTAAAGTTCTAAGGTTTGAAGTTTACATGATTTGCTCAGACACACATTAGTGGAATACACAAAGATCCCATGCACCCCCGCTCCTGAACCCCAGGACACTAGGATGGCGACAACACACCGCTAATAGGCCAGCCAAAACCCCTAGTCTGTTGAAGTATGGGTACTGATAACTCGACAAGTAACTGAAATTTATCTCGCAACTCCATAATCCGGTTGAAATGATACCACGTTGCCCACGATAACATATACGGCGCTCTGTGGTGACTGAAACAGGTTCCACAGGCAGCAATGAAGTGTGCCCCTCGCCCCCACCTGGCGCCTGGGGGGGTGGGGTGCCTACATGCATGACGCAATAATGTGATGTGTGGGGGGGGCGCGTGCCGGTGGGCCGACTGGGCCTCCCCGGTATGCCGACATATGTGTACCCGGTATGCCCATAAGAGCGTCCTCAGAGGACACTTTATACGACTAGCGTCGCGTAAAAAACGGGACAACCTGAAAGCAATCGAAGACCTAACGACCCAAATAGCAAAACTGGAGACCCTTCATAAACGAAGCCAACTAGAAGCCCAATATCGAGAACTTCTGTCAGCGGGCAGACAACTCACAGAGCTCATAGACCGCAAATACCATAGAGCACTACAGCGCTCGAAGGCATTCTATTACATACACGCAAATAAAAGCGGCAGACTACTAGCGCAGATGATAAGAGGGCAGCAAACGAGAGCCCAGGTACCAACACTGCGAATCTCAAGAGGACGCCTCACACAATTCCCAGAAGAAATAGCGGAGGAGTTCCGCATATATTACACAACACTATATAATATCCGCGCGGACCGATCTACCGGGATACAGGAGGCTACCACCAGAGAAGCGGAGCAATATCTACAAGGATTCCAACCAGAGGCGCTAACAGGTGAGGAAGCGGAAGCACTGGAAGTGCCGATATCTGAAGAGGAAGTCAGACTGGCAATTAAGGGGACAAAGAATGGCAAAGCACCCGGCCCAGACGGATTCCCGGCTGGGTACTATAAGAAATTCGGTGACATCCTGATCCCCCGACTCACCGCTGCACTAAACCAACTGCAGAAAGGAGACAGGTTCCACGCAGAAACAATGGCCGCCACCATTACTGTCATATCTAAACCAGGCAAAAACCCAGAATGCTGCAGCAACTACCGCCCCATCTCACTCCTCAACACGGACGTCAAGCAATTCTCTAAGATCATAGCAAATAGATTACAACCATACCTCCCGAGGCTGATCCATCCAGATCAAATGGGCTTCATCCCGGGGAGAGAGGCCAGAGACTGCACTCTGAGGACGTTTACTATTCAGCACTTCATGATGGCAACGCTCGCCAAGATAGGGATAGGGAAGGGGATGCTCACGTGGATTGAAACATTGTACCACAATCCAAACGCGAGGATACGGGTCAACGGAGCACTCACAACTAGCTTCGCCATCCACAACGGCACCAGACAGGGATGCTCCTTATCCCCCCTCTTATTCGCTCTCACACTGGAGCCTTTCCTAGATAAGATCCGACGAACGCCCAACATCCCAGGACTCCGATACAAAGAACAAGAACACAAGGTGGCAGCTTACGCTGACGATATGCTCTTCTACATTAACAACCCAACACACACGCTTCCCGTATTAATGGAGGAGTTTGAAAATTATGGCCGAGTATCAGGGCTCAAATTGAACCTTACAAAATGCGAAATACTACAAGTTTCGGCCCCGTCACCGGATTGGGACCAGATCAAACGGACCAACCCCTTCACATGCTGTGAAGATCAGATGAAATACCTTGGCATATGGATCCCACGCAGACCGACAGAAATATACACAAGGAATTACACCCCGCTCCTTCAACAAATTCAAAGAGATCTGAAGACATGGAACCATGAGTACATCTCCTGGTAGAACAGCTGCATGGTAGTATTTTCGTATGTCGGGCAGTGCTAGTCCGCCCCATGATTTGGGTAGGCATAGTTTATCGTGGCTGAGTCTCGCCTTGCACCCTTTCCAGACATAACTGCCTATCGCTGATTTTATTGTCGCAAAGAAGTCTGGTGGTATATACCATGGTATTGTGTTGAAATAGTACAGGAGTCTTGGCAGAATATTCATCTTCACCACCGCTATCCCGAATAGAAAAAGATGGGCAAACCTAGACAGGGAAAGTATGTACGGTACCCTCCACTCACTAGTGTGGCACGAAGCTCGGGGAGAATCACCGCACACGAGAAAGACCTCACCCATCACACAAACACTAAAAACATGGGCTATTGTGAGAAAAGAATCCTATATCTCCCCACAACCGAGCCCATTGATCCCACTGACACATAACACAGACCTGGGAGGCGGCCTACCGAGAGGTGCATGGCCAGAAACTAATGGAGAAGAATATCTCCCTCTGAAGGAGGCGCTACACAATGCAGGGTTAAAGAACCTACAGGAATGTACCGGAACCGAAACCCCCTCTCTCATGCACAGATTCCGCTATGCGCAACTCAGGCATTTCTACTATAATATCCCGAACAGACAGGCAGTACATAGAGATACAACATGGTTCGAAAGCCTGTGCGTTTACACACCTGAAGCGGATGGGAGAGTCTCCATAATATACCAGAGAATACTGTTGGGCGACCGAGTCAGAAATATAGCGTTTAAGGGTCAATGGGAAGACCTCACGGGCAGGACATACAGTGTCGCACAATGGGAACAGATCCTCATACTGCAACATAAGAGTTCGATCAGCTCAAAATACCAGGAGGCCAATTTTAAACTGCTATCCCACTGGTACCGAACACCTGCATTGCTACACAGGATATTCCCAGGGACCCCTGACACATGCTGGAGATGCGAGACCCACACGGGAACAGTACGACACATATGGTGGGACTGCTCTAAAATACAACCATACTGGGACCAAATCCGACAAGAACTGAACGTGATCCTGGGAGACATACCAGAACTCAGCATAGAAGCCGCCCTACTCCACTTCACGGACCAATCCGTAGCACAATATAAGAGATCAATTCTGAGACATCTACTCAATGCGGCTAAAGCCCTAATCCCAACGCTATGGAAAAGCACACAACCACCCACGATTGCGCAATGGCAACAGAAAGTTGAAGAAATTCACACAGCGGAGGCAAAGAACACGGACTTACAAGGGAGAAGCACCAAACACGTAGATTTATGGAGGCCATGGTACACGTCCACGAGCACGGGGGGGGGGAGATACAGGGGACACCGAGACGCACACGAACAATAACCTACACAAGCAATCCCCCCCCCCCCGGGGCCTCCCTCACCCCTCCTTTTTGTTTTCTCTCTCTCTCTTCTTCTTTCCCTCCACTACCCTGACCTGCCTCGGGGCTCGGACGGGGGCGGCTGGCGCCTGCATGACCTACCCCTGGCCTCCCTCAGAGGTAAAATTACGACAGCACCGAATAAGACCCGACGCATACAGGGACTGGTGACACGGGGGAGGAGGAGAGGGGGCAACTCACCCATGGGGGCATACCCTGTAACCTCCTAATTAGCCTTGACCACAGCTACATTACCTCAAGACCACAGCAGGAAAAGAAAAATAAGTCAACCAAATAAACGAAAACATGACACATGAGACAACCCACTACCACACACACAAACAGGTAAACGCCAGACCACGCAATAAAACATTCACAAATGCCCTGACCCTGGCCAAAGACGATATGGCCCAATTTGGAGTAACAAGGACCGAAAGAGGGGCAACACACCCCTCTCCCAGCCCCACCCATACCCTGAGACCCTAAACCGGATCCACACGCAGACCTACGACACGAGAGAATTGACCACACTGACAATCACCGAGACTGAGACGATAGCAAAACTCAGAAATACAATCCTAGGCTTATGTAAGAGCGTATTGAAACACATTCCTGCACTTTGTTAACTGAAAACTGAAAAGTAAACCAATAATGTCAAAGTCAAATACCCCGATACCGGTATTGGGGACTTACAATCCCGCATCTGAATGACGTGATCATGATGTACACCTTGCTAAGAGACCTGCGAGTCTCCTTACCACTGAAGTTGACGCAGAGATTTGCATATCTCAATGTATAATAGGCTCCTACAAGTATAAGAAACCTGCGAGTTTCACAATGTTTATCAACCAGCTGCATTTTACAACATTAAAAAACCATAATAAAGAAATTTACAAAAAAAAATGAAAGTTATTAGTGCCCCATCAGTTTTGACTATGGTACCTTATATATTATTCCTAGACTCGCCACTGAAAATACTTTCAGTTAATGAGTGCAACCCTGTATCAGCTCTGCTTAGCTGAATAGAAACATAATGCTTCTCACTGGTTGACAAATTACCAAGGAACGTGCCAGGGTACTCTTGGCGCCAAAGCTACCACAATGTTTTGAGTGTTTCTTCTTGGGGTAGGGTCTCAACCTTGTGACTATAAGTGATTTTCTGCTCTGTGTTGCTTTATGCCCAGTTTGATTTTAATTCGATGTGGCTTAGAATGGAGTGAACAAGGGATCTAAATTACTTTTATGTCTTGATTAAATAAAAGTAAATTTTATTATAGTTTTGATGTTTAATAATGCATTTGTGTGGATTGTAATTTTGTTTGCTGCACTCCAAGGAGCACAGGCAGAATTAGCACTTTATTTTTGTACAACATATATAGCAATATGCATCCTGACATAACTTAGGAGTGCATATTTTACAGTGTTTTCTCCTTACAGTTTTTGTAATT